TCACATTGATGGGGGGTAAAATCCCCGAAAGATATTAATTCCACGATCCTGCGGGATAATAACCCCGAAAATCGCAAATTTTTAAATGTTCCCTGCGGGATAATATTCCCACTTAGAAATACACGTGGAATTATTATCCTTCCGGAAAGATAATAATCCCACCTATAATTACAAGTGGGATTATTATCTCCCAGGTAGATAATAATTTCACTTACATTTCTAAGTGGGATTATTATCTTTATGGAACACGATTAAAATTATGGATTAAATCAAATCCAAAAACTTATTTGTCATAAGGTGCGCGAAGTTCGTTTAACCGCACCATAAGTTCTTCAGTTTTCACTTTTATAAACACTTTAAGGATGGCAACTATTTATTATTTTTAAAGCTGTTTCCAAATATGTTTGAAATTATTATTATTATTATTATTATTATTTGTTTATTCTCTTCTTTAACTCGCAAAGGAAAAGCCATTCTAAACAGTATTAACAGTTACTGTTGAGATCGGCATAAAAACCTTTGAACTTAATACTAGATTTACAAATTAGTAAAGATAAGTCAGCTAAAGGTTGTGCCTTATTAAATTAATTAATTTTTATATAAATTACAACAACAAAGTGCGAAGTTGGTTTAGCCGCACTTTGAAAATATTAAAATTTTGAGCTGTAAACGTTATTTATTGTATTTATTCTATTTTTAAAGTATTTAAGCAACAAAAATCTATGTTTGCAGACAGTTCCAGAATTTTCCATTAAGTTTTTCACGAGATTTTCCTTCAATTATTTTGTCTTACTGAAAATATCTTCAAAATTAATTTTTGCTGTTATTTTTCATGAAACTGTAATTCTTTTGTCTTAATTAGGTAGAAAATGGTTTATATTATTGATTTAATGACAGAACTCTTCACTTTTAATTGATTTTAGGACCAAAATTTGAGAAAAATTTGTTTGAGGTGAAAATTTTTCACCACTTTGTTATAATCATTAACAACTTTTGTGAAAACTGTTCATATCATATGAAATTTGAATAGCCTATCGTATTTATCATATTAAACTTGACATAAAACAGAAAACTGCAAAGTTCTATGACTAATAGAACTTGAAAATTTTATGAAAGATTTAGGTTGTGGTGAAAAATTTCCACATAGAAAAAATAAATTTAAAAAAAACTTCATTCATTAATGTTTTTAATGATCATTTTTAATTTTTCTTCTTAAGGAAACACTGTTGGTTTTGTTCAGATTGAAAAATCAGTTTTCTCATTTTTTGAGAAAACGAAGCAAAATTGGTTATAAAAGGTCACAGAAGAAAAGTTTGTGTCTGAAATTTTACATCATTTTCAAAAAAACAGATTTCAAATTGGTTGTGGCATTGCTGAGAAAATCGCAAAATACGCTTTCTGTAAGCAAACAAGCAAGCAAGCAACCAAGCAAGTTAATCAGCAAGAAATCTCAATATCGAGACATCGTAGAGACTTCTAGTTTTTTAAATTTGATCCGTGCTGCTCTATAGAAGAGCTGTATTGTTTTTGAGCAAGGTAAGAACAGCCGTTGCTTCAGAAAAAGCAAAAAGTTTTCCTTTCTTACGAATTTTTTAAAACAAAAGTTGACTGTGATTTTTATGAAATTTAAGTTTGGATAAAATTTTTTTTTTAAAAACCTTTTAAAGAATGTTCGTTAAGCTTTAGACCTTCAAACTTATGCTGAGCGAAGCTCAGCTCACTCGCTAGCTTTATATCTTCAAACTTATGCTGAGCGAAGCTCAGTTGACTTATCAAGCTTCATACCTTCATACTTATGCTGGGAAAATCTTGGTCTATCCATTAGACTTTTGATGGTACGGTGTGAATATAATCTGCATTGGGTTTCTGCCCGATACACTAGTTCTGACAGGTTTTATTTTAAGCTTTTCTTTAAAAGAGCTCAAGTTTGAAAAAACTTACAAAATATTACGTTTGAATTTTGTACGAATCACTTTAATTATTTGCTGAACATTTTCAATAAATTTGTCGCCATCAGTTTGTTTAAGTAACCCTGTATACCTGAATAATCAGAATAATTTCGAAATTTTGAGATTATAAACAATCAAATCTCTTAAATGGTCTAAAACCATTGGAAACCTTCTTGGGGCTTGTATACACGGTTAAACAGCATCAGAACTGCCATCATTTTAAAATTCTAGTTAATTTAATAAGAATTTGAGCAACAAAATTTTAATTTTGCGTTCTTTTTATGTTTAAATCTCTACATTTTTCTTAGCAAAATGTGTAAACAAATATTATGATTAGATTTATAAATCTAATTTTCTTAAGGGCAATTTACAATTATTTGAAAGGCTTTTGGAAAATTTCAGGAAAGAATCGAAAATTTATTATTTTGCCCATTAGAGGTTAACATATCTACTTCTAAACATTTGAACAAAACTGTGATTTTTAAACAGTTGAATGAATGAAGCGAAACAAAATGGAATTACGGCTACATTTTCTTTAAACATTCGAGCGAATCTCGAACATAATTTTATATGGAATAGCTAACATCTTTAGATTAGTTGAACCCACTTGAACCCACCTTGATTTTATTTTTTAAATAATTTGGAATAATATATTTTTAAAAAGCAAACATTCAACCAATATTTATGTTTTCTTCATATTTAAGTTTAAGTTTTTGGAATAATGAAATTGACAAATTAATAAGTGGGATTTTTTTTGAATGAAAATCCTATTAGATAATAAATCCACTTATTAATACAAGTGGAATTATTATCCACTATAACAAATAAGTTTTTGGATTTGATTTAATCCATAATTTTAATCGTGTTCTATAAAGATAATAATCCCACTTAGAAATGTAAGTGAAATTATTATCTACCTGGGAGATAATAATCCCACTTGTAATTATAGGTGGGATTATTATCTTTCCGGAAGGATAATAATTCCACGTGTATTTCTAAGTGGGAATATTATCCCGCAGAGAACATTTAAAAATTTGCGATTTTCGGGGTTATTATCCCGCAGGATCGTGGAATTAATATCTTTCGGGGATTTTACCCCCCATCGTATTGATGTCTTTGGCATAGAATATGCCTCCTTTGCTAGGTATACAAGGATATTCTAGCACCTGGATGACTTCCTTACGGCATCTTACGCACACGAATTGTGACTAGGTACATTGCAGGGTACATCAGGTCTTATGACGTACTCGCTTTTTTGCAATGTGCGGAGCTTGCAAGTGGTTCGGATCCCACTATTAACTGTAGGTCTGTAGGGTATGGTACATTAGATTCTGTTCTTTTGAATTTGAATCGCAGTGCCTCCAGCTGAAAGGCTGGGCCTTTCACACAATAATATTATTGTTTGCCATGCACCTGCAAAAAGAATGAACTTAAAATTTTTAAAGCACAGAAGCTCACACCTCCTTTTTAAAGGCACTCAAAATTCACAATTAAATTTTTAAAATGGAATATTAAGTTCATAATTAAATGACATATTCAAATCTTCTGCTTTTTAATACAAAGGATTTCACATCAGGTGGTCAAATTTACAAATATTCACCATTAATCTACTATAGTGAAAGGAATAATCCAAACCACTCGTCCATCATGTATGTCCATCATGTAAGAATAATTTTGGAACTATCTAGATGAATATATTTCCATAAAAAGACATCGAAGAGGATGATGATGATCATCATGTTGATAAAAAGAAACAAAAGAATGTAAAATAAAAGTAATTTACATTTTAAATAATCTCTCTTCTTCTTAAAAATGGAACAACCGCAACGAATGGACGACAATTTTTATTGTCGTCTTTTCCATTCTTTGTGCTGTATCAAACACACATAAAAGACTTCTGTTCATCAGTTTAATTCCGCATTTTTCTTACGCTTGCCTGCATGTTCTGTATTTGTCGGCGCCATAAAATTCTACGTTAAAATATTTTCATTTAACATGAATCACATAAACTGCATTTATTATTTACAACAGTATGCCGACAAGTTTAGTGAAGATTGTGATAATCTGACAATCCCTTAAATGTCCTCATTTCGTTTGGTTTGAGGAGATGAATGTCTTATTTTTTATTAAGAGATTTAGATTTATATAGCGGACAATCTCTCTTGAGCTTTTTATTCCACACACTTTATGTAGATATTAATATGAACATAAATAAAAGAGGAACAAGATGAATTTCTTGTATCACATACGTACATGAGTTTTGCAAAGTGGCAATAATAATGTAAAATAAATTGCTTTGTCGTTAGCTATACAGTATAAATCCTACACATCCATGTACGAATTCACACTTGCTGTGCATTGTTTCTACACTTACAAAAAAAAATATTTATCTTGTTGTTGAGAATAAAAGGATTTAATCAGATTGTAAATGTTTACATGAAGATTGGATATGGTTTTAAAGCAAAGCTGGTTGAACACGAACTAAAGATTCAATTTTTCTGACTTTAAATAAATTTTACATCATTGGTTAGTCTAGATACAAATATTGTTATTTTACTTAAATTTAATCAAACATAAGCACTATGATAGCACACAATTCTGACATTTACCTAGATTTCTAAACCCTGATAGTGTAAGATTTCGTTTATAAAAGTATATGAAAGTCTGTTTTATCATTTCATCAATATATTTTCGTTTTATCAAAATTTCATTTCCTATTTAATTTTCCATTTAAATTTTTTCTTCTTATTTTGGACTTTTGAATTTTATTTCCTACGAAATACTTCATTATCTCAATAAGCATGTAATTGGAAAAGCTTTGAGTGCAAATTATTGATGAATCCACTCGTTGTGAGAATTAAAGCGTCAAATAAAGCCATTTACAAAAATTCTTCCATCGGTGTCTAGTAAAAAGACAATATTACTTTGGAAACCTATAAATGATGCTCGAACATGATGTCAAATTTATTTTCCTCCATTTTTATGTATCTTCTTGTTCTTCATTTCCGATATACATCTATTTTTATATTTATATCATTTTCTCTTTTCTAGATGTCTTCATAAAGTCATTTAAAGGAATTCAAACTGACAGTTATTGCGTGGAGAAGTAAAACGATCGATTGCGATTTTTTTTCTGCGTAGAGGAAGAAAGAAACGTGAGGAAAGCAGTAAAATCTTCTCGTCTTTTAGCATTTTCTATTTTCATAAAAATCCAATGACATCGATTTTGTTAATGAACCATGAACAAAACGCAAAATCGATAGAAAATGAAACTAAACAAGTGATTGCTGAAAACGAAGAACAAATAATGCTTCAAAAGAGAGAATGTGGAGCAACAAATAGGAATTGCAATTTATTTAAGATAACATTACCTACAAAACCTTCCATTCCATTGTTATCCAATTCAACTGCATCAATTTCAACGAAAACCATTCTTTTTTATGCAATTTTGAGTACTGCTCTAGTGCTATGCCACTTCCCAATATTAGTAAATGCAGAGGAAAATGTTACTAGTCAACCTCTGCCTTTGTAAGTACTTCATCTATTATTTCAAATATCATTTGTCTCTATTAAGAGATTATGTAGATAAAACATAGAAGAGAATGTTTTAAACGTGGACTATAGATGAATAAATCCGCAGTGATTGCAATTTGTGCTCAAAGGGTGACTAGAAATAATTTCTAAAATAAATTTGAAGTTACAACAATGTCAAATTCTCTTGTGAAACAAGACTGCAAAACTTAAAAGAATTATTTAATTAAATACTGCAACACAAGGTTCAAAATGGCACAAATCGGAATTTTCTAAGATAAAATCTGTGATATTATAAAAGAATGAGAAAAATATTGTAAGGATTTTTTTGTGTGGTTGCTGGTTTATCACTTTCAAAAGAATTTTTTACAGCATATGTAGTATAAAGAGTAATGCTTCTCTTGTGTTCAACTTTTCCCACGAAGATTTCCCGATTGTAATATTCTTTTTACTATTCTTTACATTAATCGTCCTAGAGTATAGAGAAACTTTTTACAGTTTAATGCTCAATAAATAAGATAAAGATAGGATTTTGTAAAAGTACATTCAAAGGCAGCTAGTCACCCAAGAGGAGTCGCAACAATGAACTTTTTTCATTTATCTGAAAGGTCTCTTTCTGACTATTTTTTATGAAAGTGCAAACACAGAAAGAAAAGCTTGCAAAGTGGCTGTATTCATTTATTTATTCCTTTATTATTCTCTTCTTCCTTCCTCTGTCATTATTCACACTAAATATTCTGTCTTAACATTTTTGCCTTTCTGTTTTCTCTTCTGCTTAAATAGTTTCCCCGAAGGAAAATCAGACAAAGAAATTTTAGATCAACTGCTTCAAAAGTCTAACTACGACAAGCGTATCTTGCCTCCTGGTACAGTGTTTGAATATCATTTGAATAAATTTTCACTCATCTTTGTTATTATTGTCAATTCATACTTTATTTAACTCCTCCTTGTTCACTTACTCAAGTGGAAAATGCTTTTATTTTTCAAACTCACATTTCATACTAAAGAACTACATAAACATTCACTCTACTTTTTCCATCTCAATTGGTACTACTACTGTATCATATATAATGGATATGAATGCAAACGAATAAGCTCATTCAGTGGTTTATTTTTTATTTTTTTTTATTTTTCTCTTTTACTTCTTGAAAAGTTTTAGGAACTTTAACTGTTAACGTTAGCGTATTATTATTAAGTTTAGCATCGCCCGATGAATCTAGTCTAGTAAGTTTTCCTCTTTTATTCAATTCCATTCAATTGGATGCAAATTAATGTTATAGTTTTGTGACTTTGTTTACATACTTTGACTATTAATTGCTTCATTTTCTCAATCTTGTCCGGAATAGAAATATGAAGTGGAATTTTTGCTACAACAACAATGGTATGATCCGAGACTGAAATATTCAAATCAATCGTTTTACGAATACTTAAATGCCATACATCATCATGAACAAATGTGGTTACCCGACACGTATTTCATTATGCATGGTGATTTTAAAGATCCCATTGTACCAATGCATTTCGCCTTAAGAATTTATCGCAATGGCACAATCAATTATTTGATGAGGTGAATAAGAAATAGTTCTTTATTAAGGGGTTACTCTCTAATGATATCCATCACAAGTTATTATTACAGAAAAAACTGTTTTTATGGGGTGTAACCACGTCTGATCCTCTTAAGACATCATTTCAGAATGACCTCTTAGTATTTTTTGCTTTGAATACTAAAGATCCTTAATCTCACAATTTCTTATTTTCCTCATTTCTCTTGTACATGCTTCATGCACAACTTAGACGACATTTAATACTATCATGTCAGGGAAGGCTGAATATCTTTCCATTCGATGATCCATTGTGTTCGTTCTCAGTTGAAAGTAGTAAGTATGAGAGATGTACACATAATTGAATGACAATAGCACTCACGTTTAAGTTGAGTCAAGAGAGATTGTTTGAAAACAGGCTGTTTAACTTCAATGACATTGTACGCTCTTCACCTACCGTACTATGTATTATTTTCATTTCTTTATCAAACAACAACAATCCTAGCAGAAAAAGGCGAAAATTGCTTTTGAGGACCTTCGTGCTTTACAAATAAAGAAGTGAATTTTTATTCGAGAGTTCTCGAATGGAAAATGAGAAAAAAGAAAAGTCACTTTATTTCATGTTTAAAGATGTAATCTGTTTCTTTTCATCCATTTTTTTTTTCTTAACATGTGATAAACAATCAAGTATCTTATGAAGAGTCATCCATTACATACGTGTGGAAAAATGACGAAGATACGTTACGGAAAAGTCCTTCATTAACAACATTAAACGCTTATCTTATTCGGAACAAAACAGATGATTGTGATGTTAAAGGAACTTGGAGAGGTTAGTGCGGTTCCATAATGTTTTGAATTTCAAAATGTTAAAAACCATCTTGAACTTTCAATCTACATCTTCATGCTCTTTCATTTCTCATTTATTTCATTTACAAAAATGTTAATTTATTCATAGGAAATTATTCATGTCTAAAAGTGGAACTGACATTTACAAGGGATCGAGCATTCTATTTTACAACTGTTTTCATACCTGGCATTATTCTCGTAACATCATCGTTTATCACATTTTGGCTTGAATGGAATGCAGTGCCAGCAAGGTAAGAGAATAAGGATTATGGTACAATAGGAGGGAAATGCTATTTTGTTATTAAATGTTTATTCATTTTCATTTAAAACTCTATCTTTATGTTTTTTAAATCCGTAATGTATTAAAAAAAGTACTAAAATTATCAATCCTTATTGTGCGATTCATTGAATCTGATGTTATAGATACGGAATATTGAATTTATAAAAATTAAAATTTTTTTTGGAAATTAGAAATAACAATTCCAATTCTTACGAAGTATGTATTTGTATTAATATTCAAATTCTGTATCTAAGGATTACCGAAAATGCTTGAGGCTATTTAAAGATTTACGTAAGACGTCTTTATAATCTTTCTGAAACTTTTATAGATATGTCAAGTATGAAACCTTGAAACTTAGATTAAAAAAAAATTCGAAATATCTTATCAAAGCAGAAAGTTTTGAATAAATTATAGTATTAAAACTTTTTAAATTAATTCAAGAAGATTTACAGAAAATTTTCCGCTTTTAAATAGTACCAAAGTCTTGCTTGATTTTTATTTTAAAACAAAATTAAGAAAATATTGAAACCTGAGAAAATTTCTTCAGAATGTTACTCAAGCATAACTCAAGAATACTCTCCGAAGTAAACAACAACATTATTCTATTCAAATTTGCTTTTAAAAGAGGAAAAAATTGTAAATTGAATTTAAAAAAGATGTTGTTTTTGTTTCTTGTTATACTTCTTTTTATTTATCAAAAAATATTTAGGGATATAAGAGAGAATCAAATTTTTTCTTGCAAATTTAACAATGTGTAGATTCTTACGGAATGTTATTTTATTTTCTTTGATGTAAATAATTTTTGTCGGTGTTTGATGATTTATTAAAAATCCTCTCAAAATAATTTGTTTATGATATTAAATGTATTCCTTTAATTTGCCTAATTCATTTATTGAATTATTTTTTAAAACATTCACTTTTTATTATTAGAAATTCAGAATGAATAGAATTTTTGAAAATATTTTCCTTTTAAGAAATTTAAAAATAAATTCTTTGACATGTTCTCTTATTCAAATTTAATTGGACAGACTGAATAGATTCAGATTTATCTTTATCTTTACAAACAAGTTCAGACATCTTAACAAAACAACACTACTAAAAGCTTATAAAAGAAGAACTGTAATGAAATTTTTCTTCTGTTTCATTTCATATCTTTCTGCACATTTTCTGCATCACAGAGTTATGATAGGTAAGTTGATAAATTTCCACTCCATTTACATTATTCTAACTCACTTTTGTTATCCCTTACATAAATATCCATGCTTTAGCGATGTAATTTCCTTTTCATCTATCTTCATTTTCATTCTGAAAGCTTGATGTTATACAACCTAAAATTAGAATTGTTAATGGACAACATCTTGAGAATAAAGTCTCTTGATACTTGTTAAGCTCTTCTCTAAATTTATTCTAAACAAGTTACATCCGATACCTTAAAAGACTATGAACATTAATATAAATTTTATGTTATGAATTAATTATGACATATTGGTTATGTTGAATTTTGTATTCATAATGTTTTTCTTTCTCTTCAACAACAAATGAATTTAATGATCTCTTAATGAAAATCAATTCCAATCAATTTCAATTCAATTTGACCATCTGTCTGAAAGATAAGAGAATAATCATTTCCGGTTCTTATTTTTCCTCCTATTTCCTTTTTCTTTGTTGTTTTCCTTTCCAATTTTTCATCAATTTCCTGGTCCATTTATGAAATATTTTTATCTTTCTTTTTTTTTCTTTTTTTTTCTACACCAAAACAAACAAATCAAGGCGTAACAACAATGTTGAATTTTTTCACAACATCAAACGGATTCCGAAGTACACTTCCAGTTGTATCCAATTTAACGGCAATGAATATATGGGACGGCGTGTGTATGTGCTTTATCTATGCATCACTTCTTGAATTTGTTTGCGTCAATTATGTGGGAAGGAAGCGACCATTACACAATGTTGTCTATCGACCAGGGGAGAATCCTGTCACTCAGGTAAAAATAAATTTAATATTAATTTTGATTGATCATTTCCAAACAAAATACATTGAAACAAGTAAACATAAATACATTTCCATCTTCAACATGAAATTTACCAATCAATATTATTTATTTTTAACTAAAGATATTATTCATGCTCCACATTATTTTATTACAAAAACTTCATCATACATAATTCATTCGAAATTTCATCTTGCCTAAATATTGTAACTTTCTGCATCATTTATGCATTAAAACACAAAAATCTTATTCCTGTTATATTATCCTTTTACAATACTCACATGAAGACCTTAGTCATGAAATATGTACACAACCTTTCTTGCTAAATTTTTTGAATGCTTTTTAAACAACAGTATTCTGTCAGTCTACAAAAGCTTGAACTTTCTTGAAATTTCCATACTCACATACTGCAATAAAAAAGCATTAAAGCTATACTTGTGATATTTATACAAGTTCAATATAATATCAATACTCCATACCCGTTTCACATAATCAAAGTGCTCACTCAATATGACTCACATTGAGATAGAAGAAATTGCATTATTTTTATGTCATCGACGTGTCATTGGCAATGCATTTGATAGTTTAATGCAATTTTAACATGAAAACTTTTTTATTGAAAATGAAAAGTAAATCCCTGTCTTAAAACTTTTTGTCTCTTCTTTCAATATTTTGCTTTCTTTTCGCTCTTGTCCATAGTTGTCCATAAAAGTTTGTTTATTGTCTTAAGGAAGTAAAGCAGTCGAGGTTTAAATTCATATTAATTTGATCACTTAGGAAAGACGAATGAGAAAGATCTTATTGATAGCAATTCTATAAATTATAGATTGTTTTAAGGTTTCCTTCCAAATAAAAGAGAATTAGAGATTTTTGGTTTCAATTTCTTAAAACTAAAGTGTCTAGAATCTCAATACCATAACTTAAGGCAAACTTAACTTCAAATGTATTTCTATGAATAAATTATTGAATGAATAGTTCAGCTTGCTGAAATGAGACTTGGCCAGCAGTTCCCTTTGTATGCCATTAAAAAAACTCACTTTATCATGTATTTGTGAGATTTTGAATTTTTGGAAATACAAAATTTCCACTGTGAAGAAAATAAAAAAATTCACAAATCAAATTTTTTTAACTTTCATAACTTTGCATAACTCCCATAAAACTTCAAACAAGTTAGAATAAATCTCATGCGGATTTTACCAAGCAAAATGTTTTTTTGATGTTTAAGTTTCGCCAAATCTCTATTTTATAAGTATGGTTTTAGATTACATTTTTAAAATTGTTGTTGAAAAATAAGCAGCTATGGAAAGAAAGAAAAAGAGAAAAAAAATCAATGAAAGAAAAGTAAAGAATAGAAGAAAATGCACTAAAAAGTCCTGGAAAATATAAAATCAAGTTTGGAGCTTATTTTTTATTTGAAGATTAAAATGGAAAAGTTTTATGATTTAGAAGGTCCACTGAGATTTTGCATATCACGCCATGCAATTTAAAATGACTCAATACACATATGCGTTCTTCATTCCATCACCATAAATGTATGACTATTGATAATTAAGCAGAGATTAAGTATATGTGACTACATCCGTTCACATGCATGTTGTATGCACTTGCAATTTTCATTAGACCGAAACAAACATGATGATAATGATAATGAATCGATGTATGTACCTTCGAGACGTGTACAAAATTCACAAGCCAGAGATAATATGAAAATATTGTCCTTCAAGTTTCTTTTCAAAGACATGGCTATACTCTTGTGAAAATCATGCTTACGAAAATTTTCGAGCAATAAATTTTTGATGAGTTTTGTACCAAAGGTTTTCAGTTTTGGGAGAAAAGTTTGAAAAATTATGAAAATTAAATTGCCACAAGTGGATAAAGATGATAACGCACAATGAGGTGATTAAAATTTAATCTGTCTACAAGAATTTTAAAACATTAAAATTGAATTTTCAACAATCGATTATTTTCCCTTTTTAATGTTTCGGAAACCTCACGAGATCGACATAATAAAAATTTTCAAACTGTATTTAAGTGTGATATTTTCGAAAAATATTCATAGACAAAGAACATTGAATATCCTTAGGATATTAAAATACTGATACTTTAGTGATGATGACTATCAAGAGCTGTGCTGTATAAGTTTTCTCATTAGGGAATGATATTCATAATTTGACTATAAACTCTGCAGGACAAAAATCTCTAAAATTTATTTTCCACTTTTTGAAAACAGTTTCTGCTTTTAAGGGGCCGTTTCTTTATGACGTCCAGGGGGCGGGGGGGGGGAGCAAGAAAATAACAATAGAAATTCCTGGAAATCCATAGTTCTCTTTTGAAAAATGACCGTTATTTTCGTACGTCATAAGCGAACGATCCCTAAACAAATTTTTTACTGCATTTTATGAACGATTCACATGATAAAAGAAAGTAATTAGTTTTGTGTCTTTTGTGAGATATATTCAAATTGAAATATGCAGACTGCAATAAATTACAGAAATTAGGTAATGAATGTTGATCCTTAATCAAAATGAAAAATTCTTCCTGAAGTTAAGATCATAATTATGAATTATTGTTTCTGTTTGAAAAAGCATTCTAGGAACAAAGAAATTAGGAATCTAAAATTGCTTTATTTCTATTTCTATAGGGTAAACCATGTTGAAATTTGTGCAATGTTGAAATTTGTGCGCTCAAATAAAAAAGAAATTAGCCCAAATAAGCCATTTAAACCAAAATTTTGTTTGCAGTTCTGTGTAAAACAGTTGTACAAACATTTCTACATCATTTTGGACAGTCTCGAAGCTTGGAGCAGCTTTAAATTTTAAAAATTCAAAATCCCATACAAAATTGTGATTTTCATATTTTAAAATATTTGGACATAACCAGTGCTGCTTGTAATCAAATCACAGTTTAAATATAAAATTTGATAATTGCTATAATGTTTCAAAAAAATTCAAGTTATAAAAATCATTGGAAGTGCTTTAAAAATTGATTTTAAAATTTCTTGATTGTAAATGTTAAAATTTGTGCGAATTTTTTTTACAAATTTTGAAATTTGTGCGTTTTTTGTCGTAGAAAGCGATGGGAATTTTTGTCAACAACAAATATTATTTACGTATGAAATTCATGTTTTTACAGGATTTCATGAAGAATAGCATAAATGGAACTACTGAAAGTCAAAAACTGATAACAGCTGATAAAAATTAAAAACGTGGGTCATTTAAAATTTTAAAAAAAAACATAAAACAAAAATGCAAAAGACTTCAAGGATATCCATACAGATCCATATATTCAAAAAGTATATCCTGTTAAGTGTCCAATTTCAGATCTTTAAATAAAAACATTTTGATTTCCTATTTTTCATCTTTTTATTGCTAAAACTCTATGCTGCATAAAATTTACACAAAAATGGAGAAATTGCTGATTTAATGGATGTTCCTTTGACGGTTGTAAACTCAGCCAGCTCAAATTGAGTTAAATCTTGAATCTTGCATTATTTCTTGAGGAAAAGGTTTGAAACAATTCAGCTTTATATTCTTAATTTCATTTAAATTTTATTCAAAGTAGTTCCTTCAGCAAAAATATCAATTTCTGTTCCAAATATAAATAAAAAATATGTTTGTTTACATTTAAGAATTGCAATTATGTCAAAGATTGCTATTAAAAAAACGCACAAATTTCAACATTTTTTCGCACAAATTTTAAAATTTTCCGCACAAATTTCAACATTTGATCGAAAAAGTCAAAAATCTCTTCCCATATGCAGCATAACCTTGAAAAAACATTATTAACTGAAAATTCCCACAATTATTGATCTTTTGAGCCCATTACCAAATTTACATGATCAGTCATTAGCAACTTATTTGCAAATCAAATTTTCATGTGCAAAAACACACAAATTTCAACATGGTTTACCCTAAAACTTTAATTAATTATTTTCCAGAAAATAATCAAAAAATTTAATCAATAATTTATTCAGTATTTTTGCTCTTAAACTTTCAATATGGTCATGTCCAATCAAGCTACCATAATTTAAATTAAAGTATAGCATCAGTTTTTACAGCTTATCATAAAACTTAATGGCCATAAAAAGACAATTGTTTATGTTCATTTAAATATTGATTGATTTTCAGTCAATTGCTATTAATTACGTATGAACTCATTTAAATTATGGCGAACAAAAGTTTGTAGAGTAAATTTTGTGTCAGTTTTTAAAGATTTTTATCTTGGCATAGTTGATTGAACAGGATTGAGCTTAACTACCTTTCGCTACATTTCACCTTAATTAACCAATTGAATTCTCAATATTATCCCTTACTCAAGCTTTTTATATCATTGAAAAATTATTTTCTAACCCCAAAAGCATTCAGCAAAATGGCTTTTAATGTACGCCACACACCCAATTCCCATAAATAAATGTCACTTACACTTTTCACTCTCTACCGTTTTTACTGGTTTTTACACAAATCCAATATTTTAGTTTAAATTACATTTTTTATTTTTCAATAAAAAATGCACTTTGCAGCAATAACATTGTAACTCGTGTGTACTTGGTTTTTCTGTTTTTGTAGCGTCTTCCAGCAGTACTCAGTCGATTTGGAATGATACTTGCAAGTCCATTGGTAAGCTCACAATCAATTTAATTTTTATCCTCTTTTTCTAGTTCTTTTAAGTCTGTATTCCTTTTATGTGATATAAATTTCAAACATTTGTGCATGTCAAGCAGCTTAATGACTATAAATTATCAACTTTATATCTACATAAATATTCACAAAAATCCCTTAATGATAGTTGCACATCACATAATGGGTATTTTTGCTATTTCAATGTACTTTTGTAGCTATATAACGTAATTTTATGTTCAATCTAATGTTCGATGTTATTCGATTTACTATCTTTTAAAGGACACATGTACAGTTCTTTATTTTTTTAAGCTCCATTTTATTTTGAATTCTTTGTAAGTTTAATGATTTTTTTGTTTATTTTTTTCATAAAATTCGATTATTAGTTCTAATGCCAATTTTATTTGGTATTGCTCTTTTTATTCTCATATTTCTAAAGCACAGTTATGATATAAATTCTGCACAATAAAACATTTTCATTAATGTTTTCAATACTGCTCATTCTTGACACCTGATACAGAAACATAAACATACATAATTTTGTCATTGATAGCTATCACACTAAATTTTTTTAAATCGATTAGTTTAATTTCTTTATTTCTTCTTTTCATATTTTTTTTTTTATTAAAATTTGCACGAAATTTTTTCTTACTTCAAAAATTGAAACTGCAAAAAAAATTAATTAGCAAACGATAGAAAATGAATTTCACGTGGCAATATCGAATGAAAAGAATGCAACAGGAACAGCGACAAACTCAACGGTTTCAACGATTCAACCATCGACTTCAAAGGATGGTTTCCAAGAAGAATTGCCATTGAAACCTCCAAAACGACGACAAAAAAAGGTTCTTCAACCACAATCATCACAAATTTTGGAAACGACAATTGACAATGTTGATGAAGAAAGTGAAAATCAAGTGAGTTATTTATGATCAATTAAGAATGTGTTTGTGGAAACAGCAAAATAAAGTTTACTAACACAAATAAATTAAAGGAAAATGTTTGTATGTTCATGTCATCAAGTTTCCGTTTGAAAAGATAATATTGATCTATACATCAATACAGTAAACACACACACACGAGGTTATCGATTTGTTTCCTCATCCTACCAAGTCGCTAATATTCTAGTTCCGTGTTAATGGCGTTAACACACACTTGATAAACACACGTTAAATATAGATACGTTGTCATTGTCGTTTTTTAATTAACATATTGATACGCACGTGTGGATGATTATTAATTTAAAATTTTAGATTTTTTGCATGCTTAATTTCAAGCTTAATATTTTTCCACTGTCTGTCGCTTGGTGCTTTAAGTAGTTTAAAATTCATAAATTATTTAAATTCTTAAAAACATTTAGATCATTCAAAAAAGCAGGGTTGTTAACAAAGTAGCTTATAAGCTCCTGTATATAAATTTTGTATAGAGTAAAAATAAAATAATAAAACAAATGAAAGGAAATAGTCAACTAATATTTCCAACGAGCAAGAAATAACAATTTCATAATATCCCAAATGTACAATAAATCTTTCTTTTTTCACTTATACAAAAGTTTTCTCATGAGAAACAAGCTCTTATAAGAAAATATGAAGTGAAAAAATAATTGGCAATCCTATGCTAAGAGATAAATTTTGAAATTATCATGGATACATCCAAAAATATTAACTTAATATATAATGTAATAAAAAATTAATTTTCAGGGTGAGAAGAAGCGTGAACAAGCACCCGCAAGTGGAGGTAGCGGAGTTCAAGAACGAAATGAAATTGTCGCATGTACGAGTTGCGGTAACAATGGATCACCGTGTACACATTCAGCAAATAATGGATGCGCAACTGAGGTAATTTTATATTTTAATGGAATAAAAGTTTCATTCTATTCTCTCATGGTTGTTGATTCAGAAATATATATATCATGTATGACTTACTGTTGGCCTTATTATTGTCCATTTTTATGAGAAATTCTCCATTCTTGTCCTTTTCATAACATTCAATGCTTATATATGCTCGGCACACACAATTTGTGAACATCCTCTCATTTTTTTCGATGTTACATTGATAAAGATATGAAACTTAATGAACTTCCGTAATTGAGTTGAACAAGATGAATTTATACGTATCCATGAATGTGAAAAAGATAAATCTTAACTGCTGGGGATCTGTATTATTACACAATAGCACAATGAGAAATATTTCAGGAAATCGTTCCATGCCGCATAATCAAAATGTAAAGTATACGTAATTTTGGTTCCATTACGTTAGTTAACTTGAAAATACAAAAGCAGACCTCTTCTGAGTGCTGCAAAAAGTTTTACATTTCTGTTTCATCAATATCAAGTCATAAAATTATTCAATTTTCTTGTTCAAAGTCAAGGATCATTTAATTGAGAAAAATAAAGGGAATAATTTTGTAAATCTTGTTGCTTTATAAGTTTTGATAATTAAAAAATTGAAAAAAAATTATTTATATTGAAAGAAGTCGCCTTAAGGTGTGAAAGCTTTCATATTGCTTTCATTCTTCCCCTTGACTACAACAAACTTTTATGGCATGATATCGAATATGTGACAACATCATAATAAATGTTAATTGTATGTGAACATCTGTCAATTGACTTTTATTAGATGATAAAAAAAAATATTTAATATATTCCCTCAAGTTTCATAAAAAGTGATCAATAATTGATTTTAATATATAAATACCAAGAGCACTCACAGACACACTATAAGAGTCATGTTATAGTTTTTAGATTGATGATATGTGGCAAAAATCTGTGTAAACTTTATGGATTTAGGAATTATAAAATTGATGAAAACCGTAAAAAATTCTTAATAAACTTTAGTACAACTTTAGTAGAATAAGTAATGAATAATAAACCGCGACTGTAAAATTATGTGGACGTGAAGTACGGCCGAGACCCACATCGACACAGTTCAAAAGTTATACTTAATTTACATATGTCATAATTATGTCAGCTACAAAAACACTTAGTTTGAATTTTGTCACCCTCGGGAACACTATGAACCAGTATAGCTGATTTTGGTCCAAATCTCGGCCATACTTCACACTTATTTGAACCAAATTTTCTCGTAAATGTTAAAATATTATTAAAAAGTAATTAATCCTGAATTATTTCGCTATTTTGTCAAGTGTTTTAAGATAAAGAATTTTTTTGGTTTCCACAGTGAAGAGTATGAACAAAATTCAGATGGGGTAGACGAAATTTTAGATATCGATTTTTTGTAAGCTATGCATTAAAAAAACTAATATTGGTATGTGATTTATGTCAAAATTATGTCAATTCAAATAAAACATTCAAAAAATTTTTTTGACCAAAGTACACCATAGAAAATCAATTTTCAATTTTGGACCTGGTGCGACCCTAGTCAAAATCAATTCTCTCACTTTTTTCTTTGAGGGTTTATCCAAATGGATTGAAACTTTGCATAAATATTCTAGTGCTTAAAACAAATACAAATAAAACATCCTAAAATTTTTTTGAGCAAAGAACCAAGTAGGAAATACATTTTCAATTTTGGACTAGGGGTGACCCTAGTCAAAATCAATTTTGTCACTTTTTTCTTCGAGGGTTTATCCAAATGGATTGAAACTTTGCATAAATATTCTAGTGCTTAAAACAAATACAAATAAAACATCCTAAAATTTTTTTGAGCAAAGAACCAAGTAGGAAATACATTTTCAATTTTGGACTAGGGGCGACCCTAGTCAAAATCAATTTTGTCACTTTTTTCTTTGAGGGTTTATCCAAATGGATTGAAACTTTACATAAATATTTTAGTGCTTAAAACAAATACAAATAAAACATCTTAAATTTTTTTGAGCAAAGAACCAAGAAGGAAATACATTTTCAATTTTGGACTAGGGGCGACCCTAGTCAAAATCAATCTTGTCACTTTTTTCTTCTAGGGTTTATCCAAATGGATTGAAACTTTGCATAAATATTCTAGTGCTTAAAACAAATACAAATAAAACATCCTAAATTTTTTTGAGCAAAGAACCAAGAAGGAAATACATTTTCAATTTTGGACTAGGGGCGACCCTAGTCAAAATCAATCTTGTCACTTTTTTCTTCTAGGGTTTATCCAAATGGATTGAAACTTTGCATAAATATTCAAGTGCTTAAAACGAATACAAATAAAATATCCTAAAATTTTTTTGACCAAAGAACCAAGTAGGAAATACATTTTCAATTATGAACTTGGGACAGGTCTAGTCAAAATCTAATTTTTCACTTTTTTTCTTCCAAAAAAAAATTCTTTATCTTAAAACACTTGACAAAATAGCGACGTAATTCAGGATTAATTACTTTTTAATAATATTTTAACATTTACGAGAAAATGTGGTTCAAATAAGTGTGAAGTATAGCCGAGATTTGGACCAAAATCAGCTATACTGGTTCATAGTGTTCCCAAGGGTGACAAAATTCAAACTAAGTGTTTTTGTAGCTGACATTATTATGACATAAATTAGGTATAACTTTTGAACTGTGTCGATATGGGTCTCAGCCGTACTTCACGCCCACTAAAATTATTAATTAAGTCAAAATTAAAATTCATATTCCTTCGTCCTAACTATAGCAAAAGGAAAAAATTCTCTAATTTAATTAAATAACAACTTAATATGTTTGCATAAAATAATAATTTGTTTATCTGGCTTCCTTTTCATTTATTTTTATGGCGTGCAGTATTAGAATATGAAGTGAAATATGCTGCGCGGATATTCATTGTAAACGAAAAAAAAACTTAATAATTGAAGATTTAAAGTCCCCCTTGTTTCAAGAATTTTCTTTAAAAAAAAGTCTTAGATTTTCTTACTTAATTATCAGCCTTTAAATTTCATTCAGGATTACTCTTATTATGTATTAATAAGCTTCTAGTTCCTCTAATATTTTCTGTCACTAAAGACTCACCTTGAAACGAAATTTGCTCCCTTCATTTATTTACTTTCATTCTGTTCCTTAATTTAATGAATGAAATGTTCAAATACTCTCCATGAGAAAGCATTGGAAATGGATCTTACACAAAGTTCGGGGAAAATCTATTACTTCTTTTTCATTCGTAAGCTTCAAGAAGGAAAAAATCCACTTGAAATCTCAATGAGTCATGTTGACTCAATGAAGAGCGTGTAGCATAAAGCAGATCATCATCTTCATAGTCAAGAGTAGTGAAATATGAGAAGAAAATAATGATGGAAATGAAGAAGGAAAGAAAAGTCATTTCGAAGGTGACCTGAAACCACATTACATAAAAATCAATTTTCTTTTCTCTTTGTCAAATTTGATATTTGCCAAATCCTTGTTTTTTCTTAGCTCATATCCAGCAAAATTGATCCCTAAGGTTTTGTAAATATCTATCATAAGTCCACACGTATGTTCAGCAAAAGAAATAAAGCAGACAATACAAGAATGAAATTCTAATAAAAGAAATAAGGAAAAAATTTGAAAATTTATCAATGAATAAGAAAAGCAATAAGGTTAAGGGTGGTTCGTATATTAGGTACTGTCAAGGACTAAGAGAAGAGTTCTGAAATTTTTTCATGCTACGTCATGGTGGAGTAGAAAGGAAAAAAAAGAATTTTTAAAAAATTTAAGATTGAAAACCCAACCTGACAATGGATATCAATTGTGATCAACCACAAAGAGAAAGAAGCAGTTTTACTTTATAAATCGCATATATACATATTTCCATTGCTTCTTGAAAATCCGTTTCTTTGCTATGCCAATTCTGTAGTACAGAATAAGATTCAATTTATTTCATGTTGCGATACAAAATTTATACACAATTTTCTTCTTTCTTCTTATTTGATCATTTTCCATTTCCAGACATGTTTCGTACAAATGCGGAAGAAAGAGCCTCCACATCCGATTCGCGTTGCCAAGACCATAGATGTTATAGCAAGGTAAATGGAAACTTTTTTTTGTTGTTATTATCAATAATTCAAAAGACAAATGAAAAGTCTTATTTTTCAGCTTATGTTTTACATTTCTTACTTCCATTTGGATTTATTCCAATATTGATTGAAATTTCCTTTTCTTCTTATTATCATTTCAGAATAACGTTTCCTCTTGCCTATGCAGTGTTCTTAATAATTTTCTTTGCACACAAAAAGTTCTTCGCAAACGATTGATGTTATCGGTTAAGCTATTTTAAAGCCAAGACAGAAGAGGATAAAGTTTGTTATTATTCAATTTATATCGTCAATGCAAAGCAAGAAAATTATTTATTGTATCTCCTTAAAATAAATATACATTATATCACCGAGGAATGAAGAAATGACACAGAAAAGGGGGTCAAAAAGAACAAGTTTTTACATAAAAATGAAGAAAATTTAAAAAATTCATAAAGAAGAAGAAAAGTTGAAATTTTCTTTTTTGTGACAAACCAGCAGAACCACAGATACATTTTTCCTTTTTTAGATAATGATATAATTTAGTCTTATGTAATTTTTCTATTTTCTGAACTAAAACATTTTTTTTCTATCTATAACATTTATCCAAGCAACAACAGCAGCTTAAGCGACAATGACAAGGAATCCTTAAAATAAACATTTTAAGAGTTTTATTGTGCACAAACACATTAAGAAAACCAAATATCAAATGAAAGCAAACCGAAACAATCAATTTTCCTTAATATTCTGATGAAATGGAACAAAAGAATCTTCTGTCATATTTTCCTTTTAATTATTGTTCACATTAGTGCACTGTTTGAAAACATAAAATATAGTATGAGAATAGGCTTCAAAATGCTTAAATTTACAAGTCATTCTTATGTTAAGAAAAATAAACAACATAATCAATTTTGTGAGCTTTTTTAAAAGTCGCAATAAATCGTTCGCATTTTAGGCAACAAGATTATAATGTTGGTTGTAAGTTGGGAAAAATTGTGCGTTTTACGTAGTTTTTTTATTAATACAAGCTTAGAAAATAAAAGATAACTAAGAAATTTTACATCTTACAAATCTGCTTATTTAGTGAATCTAATATCCTAGATTAAGCCTAAGTTTTTCTAAGTCCAATGAAAAACCAATCGATATTCAAATAATCAACAGATTAGTTGAAATCATTAAAGAATCGATTTGTACTAATTATCAAACAATTCATTGACAATTAGGCTTTAAAATTCTAATTAAATTTTCATATCATGAGAAAACTATCAGACCATGGCTCAATATTCAATTCAAATTTAACATCGTATAATTATAAAAGGCTTATCTTTTCACAATTTTGCATTAATGAATGCGATCAATATTTGAAATAGATTGATAATAATAGATAATCATGACATGAATTCACTAAATATGCATAAAATAGTAACGTCGTATGACATTCAATGTTCAGAAAGCTTTTGTTCCATTTTTTCCATCATGTTAAGAAGTGCAAATCATTTTTTTGTAATTTTTCTTTTACTTTAACTTAACTTTACTCAAACGCCAATTTTGTTAATAATTTTTCCTGAATTTTCCTGAAAAAATAAATAAATAATGCATTAATGATAAAAGCATATCAATGATTCTTGTTGTATAACCATTTTTTACTAGTGTTTTAATTTAAACATTAAAAATAGGGTCCGTTCACTTATGACGTCCAAGGGGGGGGGGGGGGTCAGAAGGAAAAGAATAATAGAAATTCCTGGAAATCAATTGTTCTTTTTTGAAAAATGATCGTTAATATTGGACGTCATGAGTGAACAGCTCCATAACATTTTTATTATTAATTTCTACGAGATTATATTTTCAGGTTTATTGAATTACAAATAATTTTCAATTTCCGTCTGTACATTTACTTTTTTGTGGATAAAATTATCGGCATAATAACGATAAGTATAATAAAGCTATTTAAAGTAAGTGTTTATTTTCTACCTTCATCCCATGACTACCAAAAATAAAATATAAAATTCTCATTCAATAAAAATATTTTAACTTTTTGCCTTTGGATTCAAATTAGATATTGTGTAAATGTGTAAATGTGACTCCTGATAGTATGACTCATGTTTATTGCTTTACATCGAATTGTACCAACAAAAAAAATTACATTGAACATTTCCCTTTCGGACATTACAAATTTTTATTACAGGATGTAATCTAAATTACAGTCAAAAGGCTTGAACAATTTGAATGGACGGTACCAAAAACATTCATACTCTTTAATGCTTAAGGGTTATTCATTTATGATGTAAATTATCCTTAATTAAGGATGAAGTGATTTAAAATTTAAGATCACCTTGAGTTAAAATCATTGGCAAATAAAACCTAAAAGCTATTGTTTTAGGATTTAAGAAGTAAAAACAAAAGTTTTCTCACTCAAGCAAGTTTTAAGCTTTAAGCCAATTAAAAAATAATTTTTCCTGTAATTAGCTATCAAAACAAATCAATTCATTGTCCTTCAAACTGAATAGTTTTATTTAGAATTATCATCCAAAAAAATTATGAAATAATAGTCTTAAATCAATTGAAAATTATCATCAAAATACAAGAGAATATTGAATCCCATTGATGGCAACTTAAAATACTAAAAATTTAAATTGGTAAATTTTGTTGTTTTATAACATATTCTTAGCAATAAACATTAGTTTAAAGCATAAATATCAAATAAACAAGAAAAATATTTTCTTTACATTGAGCTGTCTTTTCTTACCAACTTCAAGCTCCTATAATTTTACGTGTGCTTATCGTAGACTCATGCGGTTTCCAGTGAATGAAAGTACTAAGCTAGACCTTTCCAAAAATGTAAAAATCTTTTCTGAAATTTTATTAGTTTAACCAGAAAAAGCAAAATAAATTCAAGATGACTGAGAATTTTAGAAATTTTCATACAATTTTCACACTTTTTTATTGATTTCTCTCTTGTCTCATACTTTTTCCTAAATTGTTATATATCAATGGAAAGCTATTGAAAAATACAAGAAAATAAGAGGAACAGCATCTAATAACAATGCGCAGTTATCGAGAAAAATTAATTTAAATAGTGAAAAATTCAGGTTAGGAAAACTCGTAAAAAACTCATTAAAAATTCTGAAACTTATACGAATTATTAACATTTATATAAGAAATGACTGTGCAAAATTTGAAAGCTTTTCATAAAGTCGTTGCTAAGAAAAATGAAAAATATTAAAAACTTGCATATATAAAATGCGTTTTTTACATAAAGTGACTATATTACTTGCAAATTTTCCAAAAATTTTTTAGTCATCATATTGGAAATTTGATGAGCTTTCCAAAAATATATAACTTTAATAGGTTTCATGGAAAAATAAGGGATACATTTGTAAAATATAAAAATTTCTAATTGTGTGTCCACTTACTCTATTCTCCAGATTTTTTTTTTTCAGAATTTCACAAAACAAATCAGAAACATTTTTTTCCAAATTCTGCATAATTAAAAGTTCTGATAAATAACTTTATGAGAATGTGATTAAAGATTTACATTTTAGTTTCACTAAAGTGGATTATCCTCGATTTCGGAATATCTACTTCAGTTTTTTGGAAATATCTCCAGACGCTTGAGGGTTTTTAAGAGATCTAATGTATGATCTAGTGAGAGTCCTTTGCTACTTAAATTAACATATACTTAGAATTTTTTTATCTTCATTAGTTTGAGAATTAAAGCAAAAATCGAAGTCATCTACTAGATTTGGCTAGAAAATTGAATAATTAATACTTCTTAACAAAAGGTAAAAGTTTAAAGTATACAGAAATTTCAGGCATAGTTCACTCTATTATAATCCAGTATAAGAAATACCACACCTACAATTAAGTTTAAGATTTTTACAAAAAACTGAAGTGGATAATCCAAAATCGAGGATAATCCACTTTAGTGAAACAGGCCGTTAGTTCTTGCACAATTACAAATTATTATGGAAATTAAAATAGGAGTACAACATTTTTTAGAGTTCAGAACACAATTCAAATAGCATTTCATTTGAAATTTCACCAAGTAAAATTGTTTCATTGACCCAGAGTTGCGACGACAGGTACCTGTCACAGGTAAAGGTGACAGTTTCTGTCAAAAGATCACCTGTCACAGGTCGTTACCTGTTCACAGGTCAAATTTTTTCGCCTATCACAGGTCTGACCTGTCAAAGGTTCTACCTGTCACAGGCCGTTACCTGTTCACAGGTCAAATTTTTTCGCCTGTCACAGGTCTGACCTGTCAAAGGTTCTGCCTGTCACAGGTCGTTACCTGTTCACAGGTCAATTTTTTTCGCCTGTCACAGGTCTGACCTGTCAAAGGTTCTGCCTGTCACAGGACGTTACCTGTTCACAGGTCAATTTTTTCCACCTGTCACAGCTCTGACCTGTCGCAGGCCTCACCTGTGACAGGTCGTCACCTGTTGACAGGTAGAAAAAATCTACCTGTCACAGCTCTGACCTGTCATCTGTCACCTGTCACCTTTGACTATCGAAATTTTTTTCTTCTAGTGAAGTATAAAGATTTCATACAAAATTCATCAATTTTTTTGCTTCCTCAAGTCACGAGTTCAAATCTCACCGCAAGCAACTTTCTTTTTTTGCATTTTTATGATTTGTTTTTAAACTTTTTTGATAAAATATTAAGTTTTATGACAAAGTTTTCCATTTTCATATTTTATTTCTTCACTTTCTATATTTTAACACGTATTTTAAATTTTTTCCATATATTTTCATACAAATTTAAATTTTTTTGTCATATTTTATCAATATTTTATACATATTTTATTTTAACAAGCTGAAATCTGATACAAAGGCTCTTTCCCTAGATCTGGATGTTCTAAAATCGTAATCTTGGATCATAAAATGGCATAAAATATTAAAACTAGTATAGACTTTGTCATTCGAGACCGCAAAAAGTCGAAATATATAATAAATTATAATCCAAGATTACAATTTAAGAACATCCAGATCTAGGAAAAGTGCCTTTGTGTCAGATTTCAGCTTGGTAAACTAAAATATGACAAAAAAATTTAAATTTGTATGAAAATATATGGAAAAAATTTAAAATACATGTTAAAATATAGAAAGTGAAGAAATAAAATATGAAAATGGAAAACTTTGTCATAAAACTTAATATTTTATCAAAAAAGTTTAAAAACAAATCATAAAAATGCAAAAAAAGAAAGTTGCTTGCGGTGAGATTTGAACTCGTGACTTGAGGAAGCAAAAAAATTGATGAATTTTGTATGAAATCTTTATACTTCACTAGAAGAAAAAAATTTCGATAGTCAAAGGTGACAGGTGACAGATGACAGGTCAGAGCTGTGACAGGTAGATTTTTTCTACCTGTCAACAGGTGACGACCTGTCACAGGTGAGGCCTGCGACAGGTCAGAGCTGTGACAGGTGGAAAAAATTGACCTGTGAACAGGTAACGTCCTGTGACAGGCAGAACCTTTGACAGGTCGGACCTGTGACAGGCGAAAAAAATTGACCTGTGAACAGGTAACGACCTGTGACAGGCAGAACCTTTGATAGGTCAGACCTGTGACAGGCGAAAAAATTTGACCTGTGAACAGGTAACGGCCTGTGACAGGTAGAACCTTTGACAGGTCAGACCTGTGATAGGCGAAAAAATTTGACCTGTGAACAGGTAACAACCTGTGACAGGTGGGCTGTTTTTGTTGACCTGTGACAGATCGCAACTCTGCATTGACCTATGATCGTTAGAACTAAGATTTTTTAAAATTCAATTCAATTCAATTTATTCATCTCAAATTATGCAACAGTATTACTAAACGCTTAAGCACTTCAATTTTATTCTTAACATTTATAATTCTTAGATTTATATTATGTACGCTAGCTCAGTGTTTAGTGCATAATCTTAATTGAGCAGTTGTGTGTCCAGCAGCCAATTAAACACAATGTTAGATGTTTTTCAAAGGTCTTTAAACATTGTGGAAGGTTTTTGTGATAAAGTTGGTTTATCAGGAAATCCAGCCAAAACAATTGTAATTCCTTTCACTACGAAGTATAAATTAGGTGAGCTTCGTCCTCCAGTTATGTATAATCAAAGTATAGAATTCAGTTGTGAAGCAAAGTATCTTGGTGTTTACTTAGACAGCAAATTAAACTGGAATTTGCATGTATATTTCGTTGTAAGTAAAATGATTAAGTGCTTTTGGGCTTGTAGATCAATTGTTGGTAAAAACTGGGGATTAAAACCCAATATGATGTATGAGCAAGTTATTCTACCACGAATTTTGTATGGATGTGCTGTTTGGTGGCATAAAATGAAACAAGTTTTTGCCTCTCAGAAAATTGAGAAACTGCAAAGAAAAGCAGAATTGTCAATTTGCGGTGCTTGAAAAACTACTTCTAAACTGGCTTTGGATAGATTTCTTGAGCTTACTCCACTTCGAGTGAGAATCGAAGCTGCAGCTCAAACAAGTGCATCCAAATTGAAGGTTAATAAATTATGGGTTAATGACTGGATTTCTACAGGTCATATGGAATTAAATCGATTTCTAAGGAGTGTAAGTTTATTTACCTTAGAATTGGATAATAAAGTGTCAAAATACGTTTTTGACAAACCTTTTAAGGTAGTTGTATCAGAAGATAATGCTGCTGAATCTTGGGATTCGGTGGATAATAATTGTATGTCTGTATACACTGATGCATCAAAGTCAGAAAGTGGTGTTGGCATCGGTCTGTTCAGCAATGATCTGAGTTTGAATTCATTCTACAAACTGCAAGATCATGCTTCTCAGCAATGGTCAGGGCAATGAAGTCATCCTAAAATGGATACCTGGGCATAGTGGCATTGAAGGTAATGAAGCAGCTGATCAATTAGCCAAAGAGGCAGTACACAAGAAAAATCATGACAAGTCCACGCATTATGATTTCGGTTTTTTGAAGTCAGACATACGAGAATGGTTGGTGAGACAACATTTTCGTATCTGGAATTTCGAGGAAGGAGCCATGACAGCGAAAAGACTTCTTGGTCCTAAAATCAAAAATAAATTGTCGGATGTTCTTAGATTAACAAGGAAAGATCTTAATTGGTGCTTTGGCAGGACACATGAGTATCAACAGTTTTCTTTTTAAGTTGAATTTATCTAATAATAAGTCTTGCAGGTTTTGTAAGGTGAATGAGGAAACAATCATTCATATTCTTTGTAAATGCAGGTCATTACGAGTACAACGTGTCAACCACTTTGATAAGGATTATATAAATGATGAGGATATTAGTAGACAGCACTATCAGGACATTATTGGCTTCATCAAGGACATAGGAATTTTATCATAGATGGCTTGGGATGGTACAACAGATCATCGACCGCAGTGCCGTTTTTGCTCTAAGCAAAACCCTACATTACATTCTATCTATCTAGCCAATTAAAAACTGATTATTGATCTTAGAACTAGTTTTCATGTTGGCTTTCGTTCCATCTGCAGGTCCGTTCCAGTAAAGGCCCTCCATGGTGAATTTACGGCTCTCGTATCTTTCTCATTCTGTCTACATAATTCTTGACCCGTTCCGTGATCTCACATCGTCTAATTCTTAGTTTTACGTCTTAAACTGCTGAAAAATCACAAGGCTGGTGGTGGGATTCGAACCCGAGAGCCATAATTTCACACCAACTTTTTATAAAAAGCTAATTTTTTGCAACTCTTTAATATTTTTCTTTTAAAAAATAATCGTGTCGAATTCGATCTTAAAAATTTAACATTCGAAAATTTTATACGCTTTTGTTTATAATCTTTGATTAAAGTTTCAATAATGAATAATTGTATCGAACTATTCAAGGCCTCAAACCAGAGGAGCAAAAGATAAATATTTGGCAAAGTCAAAAGCAATTCTTCATCAATTCTGTTTCAAACTAAGTGAAATACTGAAAAATGTTGTACTCCTATTTTAATTTGTAATTGTGCAAGAACTAAGTCATTAATCAGATTTTAATAAAGTTATTTATCAGAACTTTTAATTATCAAGAATTTGGAAAAAAAATGTTTGGAAAAAATTCTGGAGAATAATTCAGCAGAATAAAAATAAGTTCTTCAGAATTATTCTGGTTGATTTTTTTTTTTTTTACAACCATGTCACGCAACATTCATCAGAATTAATCTTTAGAATTATTCTGTTGTCATCAGAATTATTCTGCAGAATTTAACAGAATAATTCTGCAGAATTGTTGCGCAACTGTTGAACAGAATTCTGCAGAATTATTCTGTCTATCCTATACAACAGATTCGACTAAATTGTCTATAGAAAACTTAAGCAATCATCATTTATTCGACAAAAGACATACAGATAGAATCACGCTATAAATATAACCATTCTATTGTTCAAACGATTTCAAATCTGATAAATCATATCGCAGTGAGTCCATCATGAATTTTACTGTCTACGCCTTCGACGGTAAATAATGATTTTATTATTATACTACCTCCACTCGATTCAGCAGTTTGATAGTATCCAATTGGGAGTTTCAACTTTACCGCTTGGCTATTTTGAACTCATTTACAAAGCAAATAATAAATAATAATAATTAAAAAAATTCTGTATGTCCACTAATGAGGAACAAATTAATTTTACAATAAATTTAATCATAAAAAAAGTTGCTATATTTGTCCTTTTAATTGCTAATGAAAACTGTAAAAACAAAATTGTCAATTTTTCAGCATCGATGTCTAAAAGTTCATATCCAATAAAAAAAATTGTTTTTGTTTTTAGGATTTACAAAAATATTCACATATGTTAACCACAAAGTTTAAGTCCTTACTACTTCTTCAAAATTGGAATGGCATAGGTAAACAATTCTACAATGTCTGAAATTTTTATTATTGACCAAGGCATACTTAAACATGAAAGCAAGCAGTATAATGATTGCACTGTCTTTGTCTAGCCATAATATGCATGATTATAGCTTGCTTTTTTTGCAACTATGTCAAAGCATGTCATCATCATCATTGACGACTTTTTTGTGTGTGTCTACAGGTCAATGAACGGAATTGTAAAAGAAAATCCTCAGAAATTTTCTCAATCGTTAAGAATAAAAAGAAAAATCGCTAAAAAATTAATATTCCGAAAACGAAAAAAGAGGAAAATAAAAACTTTTTTATGATCAAGATAATCCAATACGTCGTTGGAACTAATAAAAAATCGTGTCATGAGATTTTTTCACTCTTTTCTATTCGTTTATCAATTCGAAGGGTGAAAAAGCAGCAACACATAAAATAGTGTCCTAATGAGAATCGAAAAGCTCCCTTTTATTTATTTGCAAACGACATTGAAACAAAAAATCGTAAAAATAATTTTTCACTTTTTTTTTCTTTTTATTTCTTTCGTTTTTTGGAAAGCATGCTTTCTGTTGTTGCTCGTGAAGAAATGCAGTTAATAATTCATGAAGTGCGCATGTCTACAACGTGCTTATCGTCCTTTTTGTTGATAGTGTCGCCTCTTCCGGAAAATTTATTGTGCCGATTTTCAAGCTTTTTTAAAGTTAATATAATATAAAAGGAAGCTATTTATAAATTTAATTCAAAAAATCTTTAATATTTTATAAAACTTTCATTTGTTCCTTTTTTCATGACGTCAGTTTTCCATTTTTCATGAGATCAATACTCGATGAATCATCAGTCTGTAAAATTCAAAACACTTTCCAATAGCAAAGCACATGCTCTTGATTGTCTCTCATCGAAATCTTTCTTCTCACGAAGAGTGAATGAAAAATTTTCTTACTTAATTTTTCCAACGGTGAGTGTCCGCAAGAAAGTGCACTCAGTCTGCTGCGGATATTTGAACGATAAACATTAAGAAGGAAGCGCGCTGCGGTTTCAAGAAAGTCATTTAAAATTCAGAAAAAAATAATAATTTTCTCTGTGTGGATTTTGATTTTTCTGTGTGCATTTCATGTGAAAAAAAAGTCATATAGATATAAAGTGAAAAAGTAAAGGAAGTGGATACACGAAAAAAATAATAATACTAATATGATGAGGAAATAGTCAAGTATGTGAGAGAGTGAGAAAGAGGAGATGAATAATTTTTTATATTAAGAAAAAAAATAAAATTTCTCAATTGCATCGTCCGTGAATCTCGCGCGAGACAAATAAATAAATATTTATTTCATCTATTTTGTGATAGCTTACTAATGATGTGCTAGTGTGGCAAATAATACAATTAGATTTTATGTGATTTTATTTTTGTTTTAGTTTCCTCGTAATGAAATAAAAATCTTTTCTATTTGTGCTGATCAGAAAGGAAGAAAAGATCATAAAATAAATTAAAAGTCAGTACATAAAGAAGTAAGAAGAAGAAGCAAATTTAAGTTAGTTGAATCGTGCAAGGGTCGAAAACACAAGCAAAAGGAACAAAAAGTAGCAAAGAAAATCAATAGTTTATTGAAGGAACACACAATGTTCTTTCGTGTTGTGATAGAATTGTGAAAGTATAATATTCATAATTTCATATTTTATATACATACCGATGTTATATTTTTGTTTCGGTTCTACGACTGTGGCATAATTCTTACTACATGATTCGGATGAATGATTCAATGAGAGTTGAATAAACGACTTCTTGATGAGCATTTCTTTATGGATTATTGAGAAACAAAGGCCACTTTCGAGGGGGATATTATGAATGTAAGTGCGTGATTTTCTTGTACGACGAGACATACAGTAGCGCTCAAAATGATAAGGACAGCAACATTTTTTTCACATTTTTATTAATTTTGACTCACAGGATTATCTAAATTTGCTGAAATTTGGACCAGTTATACAGTTTTAAATGTCCTTTCATACAATATATACTAATTGTACTTTAATTAAATATTTTTGAAAAAAACGGTAAAAAATCAAAATGGCTGCCGCTCAAAATGATAAGGACAGTAGATTATGTTAAGATTTTATTATATTAAGTAATATTATGGAACTTTTAAGACTTAAAACATTATGTTTGATGAATGTTCTTTAAATAAATTTATAATTCACGCTTCTAGATGTAAGACTTCTTACTTAATTTTAGTGTTTAAAAATATGTGAAAATTTTGTCAATTTATGATAAATTGTCGTACAGAAACTTGTTTATTCTTTAGGTTAACTACCAAAAATTATAGATAATTTGATTATTTATCAATTTATGATCAAACATTTAAATAACTGCTAGTTAATGTAAATTTTTTTCAACAATTTTATTTTTCCTTTGCGAAATTTTTGTGAACTAAAGTCGACAATTTGAAAAAAATTATTAAATATTCGCAAAACAATGCTTAAATTAGTATATTTCTCTTCCATTTTAATTGTTTAATAACATATATCAAGCAATTGAACCACTTCGAAAGGAAAAGTGACTAAGCAATCGTTCTCTATGAGCTTCTCAAGACGAAAAAATATGAAGAAATATTTTTTTGTAAAAATGTTATATTTAGCACTCATAGAATACAAAATAGAGTGTTATTCGATTAAAAAAGCCAAATTTAATTATTTTATGTTAAAACTTCACTTATGTAAATCATATTTTTTTAGGTTCCAACACATTTTTCATTTTTGCCATATCAAAAAGTCTTGTTGTTGAAAGAGAACGATTGCTTAGTCACTTTTCCTTTCGAAGTGGTTCAATTGCTTGATATATGTTATTAAACAATTAAAATGGAAGAGAAATATACTAATTTAAGCATTGTTTTGCGAATATTTAATAATTTTTTTCAAATTGTCGACTTTAGTTCACAAAAATTTCGCAAAGGAAAAATAAAATTGTTGAAAAAAATTTACATTAACTAGCAGTTATTTAAATGTTTGATCATAAATTGATAAATAATCAAATTATCTATAATTTTTGGTAGTTAACCTAAAGAATAAACAAGTTTCTGTACGACAATTTATCATAAATTGACAAAATTTTCACATATTTTTAAACACTAAAATTAAGTAAGAAGTCTTACATCTAGAAGCGTGAATTATAAATTTATTTAAAGAATATTCACCAAACATAATGTTTTAAGTCTTAAAAGTTCCATAATATTACTTAATATAATAAAATCTTAACATAATCTACTGTCCTTATCATTTTGAGCGGCAGCCATTTTGATTTTTTACCGTTTTTTTCAAAAATATTTAATTAAAGTACAATTAGTATATATTGTATGAAAGGACATTTAAAACTGTATAACTGGTCCAAATTTCAGCAAATTTAGATAATCCTGTGAGTCAAAATTAATAAAAATGTGAAAAAAATGTTGCTGTCCTTATCATTTTGAGCGCTACTGTACCTAAGTGACTATTTCATCAAAAAATAGCCCATTTAATAAATTTGGCATGAGCTTTATTATGTCGTGATGCCTGCAAAAATTTCACAAAACATCCAGCAAGACTTGAAATGGAAAATGAGCGAAAAATTAAGTGGATTATTTGAACCGCAAATTGTGGTTTCTAATTACATGGAAAAATCTAAATTACTTCCACTATAATGGAATTTTACAATGTTATTTGCGCTCATTTCTAATTATGTTGACTAATTCTAAATTTTAATGACATTTGCTACCACAACTGTGCATTGCTGTTGCTCTTCTTCATTAAAATTTCAATTTCTATTAAATAAATAAATTAGTTTTGTGCAATTTTCCAATTTGCTCCTGCTGTCGAATAAAATTTTATTGATATACACATTATTAAACTTCTAGATAGTGAAACTTTTTATATACTCTGAATTTTCCAATTTTAAAGGTTTTTATTTACCATTTTAATTCATGTGATTTTTTAACATTTCCATTATCGAGATTAATAATTCATACAATTCAATCAGCAGTTATGCTGAAACTGGAAATTTTTGTTTATTCAGGATATTAATAAAAGTGATCTCTGTAAAATGATTCTTTAAACTAAACCACATATAAAAATATTTTTTATCAAAAATATCCTGAAAATATTCTCCTGATTCTTTTGGGTGAGATTAAAAGAAATCCTTTGATATCTGCTTGAAATTCTTCTAAAATCCAAGGATTATGCTAGGATGGTGTTATCTAAAGCTTGATTTTTAAATTTCTATTTACGACTTAGACATCGGAAATGATATTTACAGTGCTTAAAAAGAAAATTAGGATAATTTTACTAATTCAGTGGCTTATTTTGAATTTCTTGAATGAAGTGACTGCAATTGATTAGCATTCATTTCCACAAAAAAAATAATGGATTAAAAAACACTAAAATAGCAAAAATATTACATTTATAAATTAATCAGCATATGACAAGTAAACTAAAATAAAAAATCTGTTACATTTTGTGTGAATATGATTGAGCGATATCAACATTATGACAACAGTTAGTAAATGCATGACCCTGAAAAAACTATGGAATCTTGATATGACTTCGAAAATCCAAAAAATCATAAGAGTTTAAAAGTTCATTTCATTCCAAATATTAGATAACGTTAAAACTGTCACAGTATTCAAAAAGTGTAATTTATACTGTTTTTCGCAGATTTGAGACTAAAAAGTGTGATATAAATATTGTCATAATTTCATACGTTTCACAATTAAGCAATTTACATACAACTTAATGTCAACTTGTTTAATCGAGCTTGAAATTTTTATGATTTAATTTAATTAAAAACTTTTTCAGTGCTGTAAACATTCATTTATAAGGAATGAGATTAATGGAAAAAAAAAGTTTCATGACACATTTTTTTTTGAATTTTTTGCTATATGCTATGCGATAATTAAATCATTTTTTCAGAAAAAAAAACATTAATAAAGTTGCATTAAAAATTTCTGAAAAATTTGATTCTGCTTTTAAAATCTGTCACGTTTTTCAAGCGCAATAGTTTTTAAAATTATACGTCATAAGTTCACAACTTTTAAGTTTTATCCCAATTATTTTAAATAAAAGTCTATTTTTCTTAATCCTTAATTGAAGCAATATTAAAAAATACAGCATTTACCTATCAAATTCTAAACTCTGCAAATCCTTTCATAAAAATATTATTTGATCAAAATTTTTGCATATGAACTATTTTCAAATTTTAATTAAAAAATATAAATGAACCCCTAAACAATCTAGTCTATTGGTATGATATGAATTTTCTATTCAATATCTATCAAATAACCAAAAACTCTTATTCACTATTTGTTAAAAGCATTCTATTATGAAAATTCCTGTTCGTTAACAAATCTTTATGTATTCATCTCTTCTCTATTTAAATTCTGTCTACAAAGGATTATAATTTACATGCTCTATCGAAATACATTGTATTTTTTGAATATTACAATACATCTGATATTGTGGTCATTTTAGGCATTCCATAAAAAACAATGTAGGAACCGAAAAATACGCAATTTATAATAGAAAATATTTTACAATTGATGTCAGAATTTCCATTTTTGGTTTTAGATATAGGGCCGTTTACTAATGACGTCCATGGGGGTGGGGTCAGCAAGAAAAGAACAATAGAAATTCCTGGAAGCCCATTGTTCTTTGATGAAAAATGACCGTTAAATTCGGACGTCATAATTGAACGATCCTTATCTGCTATGATATTCTTTTGTTTGGTTTAGTCCATTTTTTACCATTTTAATCCAATAAATAAATATCATTTAATTTTGTTGAAAAATCCGAAATAAAATACTTCAAATCAATGTGTACAGCCATGACTCATCCCTATTTCTCATTAATTTCATGATTTTCATTAACAAAATCACAGCAGTATTAATCCAATGAACTGTAATTATTGAGCTTTTTATAAAATTAAAGGCTTTAATCAATTTAAGTTTTAATTGATTTTAATTGAAACCCATTTGCGTTTAATAAATGAAGTTCAAAGGATATGATGATGCATTTATGTGAGTCCTTTTGAAGCTTTAATTAATTTCTGTCCTCAATCGTTTTCTGTTAAATGATACACATCTGGCATCGATTAAAAAATGTATCTTGCAACCCTTTTAATACTTTTTTTCATCTAGCTCCTTAGTTGTGTTTATAGCTATGCCATATAAGTTCATATAATGTTCAAGAAGTAATGTGGTCCTTTTTAAAATAGATTTATGTAGTATAAATTTCAAACGAATAATCATCTTCTCCTGATCAATCGTTTAATGATTTAAAAGAGCAAAAATATATCCCACAACTTAACAAACATTATAGAATGAATCCATCAACACCTTTCATATGAAAACATTTGATTACAAATATTTCAACAAAATGGCCCAAAACTTGTTGAATTTTCACATCCTCTAAGGCTTTGAAAACTTGTTGTTTGCTCAAACTTTTTACAAGTTTGCAAATTTGAATCTTGTAATAACTTTGTTTATCCTTTTTTTGGAAGAAGTGTTTTTGTCGAAAATACAATTGATTGGAAATTGACATGAAGCAAAAAGTAAACCCAAAGGATTGAAATGTTTAATTCTTAATTTGTATTCAAATTGTTTTGAATACTTGATAAAAAGAGCAATGATGTCCTTTCTATTTCTGAAAATTTAAATTTTATTCAAGGGCTTAGTAAAATTGATTCTTTGTTAAATTATGTATGTACAACCTTTTTAAAAATTAAGTAGAATCTGTTTTGTAAGTTTTTCTTTTAGAATTCAACGATAATTTTTATGATAAAAAAAAATCAAAAGAGTTGAAAAAGTTACTGTCAAAAAATCAAAAAA